GAAGTTTCTATTTTTGTTCTCATTACAGGTACCTGAGTTCATCACATCATCGACTGAATGGAAGCCGTCTTTTCCGGTCTTGTTTCAGAGAGATTACTCTGTATGCTCCTCGTGTTCATGATCACCTGCATATTCTTTCGAATCTCGGCAATAAAAGGTTCTTTTGAGGCAGATGATGAATTGTATAGAAAGTCAAATACGCACTGTTGTCATAATAAGCTGGCACATGGTTGGTTTACTTGAGTGACGGGCCAATCAGCACAACTCTCGACTAGCCCAAACCTGGGGACAAACTGGCAACCTCCGGCATAATGTCAGTTCTGTTTCCTCATTAAGAACACTTGCTTGCCTACAAAAGACGTCAATTATCACTTCGTTCGACAGTACGTATTCTGCAAGTACCTACGATACCTTGCTGGTGTCTGGCTGGCCATTTTTAAGGTGCCACCAAGTGGAATGTTGGGGAAGAGTTTTCCTCGACGACGGCAGCTAGTGGCTGAGCGAGGGGCCCCCAGAACGCCTAGACACTGAGATTCCCTGAGGTGTCACAGGTGGTGAGCAATCAACTCCACCATCGAGGCCATGCGCTGCCCTGTTTGTGGGTATTGTTCTATCCATACCCGGCCGAACGTGCTGCCGGCCCCCGGAGATCCTCAGGTACCATCCTCGTACCTTTAGTAGTCTACTTGAGCCGCTTGCAGTGCCCGCTAGGTACATATCTGATCGGCTAACGACGCTATAGCCAGATGGATTCGACCCAATGGCACCCATGCTTCTGTGGTACACCGTCCGGGGATCAGGGTCGCCCGTGCATGATCACGATAGCTTCATTGACCCTTTCTTTGACGAGTGACGGCCCGCCATGGAGATTAGAGCCCATACCTGGCGTCTTGCGGTGAGTGGGAAACAGTTAGCTTAGACGAACCGGAGCTCCAAATCACTACCCGGAGGACGCAGTCACAAAGAACGGAGCTCTCTGACCAACAAACAGGGCCAGGGAGCTTTCCCTGACGGTGTTGACGAATGTATTTTGTGGTACCTTGCCAATAGCTATGGCAAGGAGCTGTCGCCGTATCCCAGCATCATATCACATCCCTTCTTTCTGCTCTTCAAATTCGCATCGCGGGGCAGCCCCTCCCAACAGGTACACGCAAACCAACGGCACAGACACGTGTTGATTGCAAATGTGACCTTGTGCATTTTTGTTTTTCGAATCGAGGGAGGTTTATGACGAGTCTTTACGTTCAAAGCTGGAAAGAATTGTCAGAAATTAGTTGCTCGTCAACCTAGTCCTGTTGTGTGTGGTTGAGATGGGTATTGTAGGTAGCCAAGTGCATGGTGTAAATAAAACGCCAGTTTATAGGTTGTCTCTTACACGCCGTTAACATCTCCCGTCAAGTTCCCCAGACAGCCCAGGCTACCAGGGTCCCGATTACTTACCCAAATCGCTCACCTTCACACCGTGGCGGCGGCCCAAGCGTCTCCTGAAAGATACACCTCGTCCATTCCATACCAGGCTGTACGTACCATTGCTACCATGTTGCTTCTCCCATTGCGAGTCCAGAAAGAAATGTCCCTGAGATTCTGAAGCTTAGCGAATGTCTGAGCAGAGATTGCCCAATCGGCGGTTTCGTCCCCTGTCCATCCACTCCTTCACAACCTAAGGCATCACGGCCTCGACAAGTCTACAAGTTACACCAACAACATCACACGGCATTCTTTGGTATCGTAGACGAGATATCCAAAGGATCACGAGGTTCGTGCCTGTATAACTATTTACCTATTCCATGCTTCGTAATCCAAACCCCTTGTGCGAATTGCATCGGATATGTTTACCGCTCATCACGGCAATTGGGTCTATATTTGTCGAATATACGTAATCCCCTTGCATCTCGATACAGTGAAACGGGCTGAAAAGGTCACGATGCCAGATGTTTAATTGCCAATGGCTTCTCATCAAATATTGACGAGCTCCATCGAAGGTCATGTGTTGTGCCCCTTGGGACAGGGGAATAAAAATTACGTACTAGTCTCGTTGCTTACAGGATACCAAAATCAACGTCTCAAAGCGATCTAGAAGCTAGGTCAAACTTGAACACTCCAACAACTCAACAAGACAGATTCCAAACTTCCACTCCCGACTTTTCCGGTCGTTCCTCTTTCTCCCTGTGTCTCGCAATATGTCCATGGCTCTCCTTCTTCCCTTTTCTATCTTTTCCTAATTACAATACTCTTGTGTACGAAATGTGACATGGACGAGAAACAACAAGTATAGACACAAGGCCCATACTTACCAGGTAAAAGTCAGGCACTGCATATGGCCTTCTAGCCAAAGCTACGTTCGGTCCCAGAAGAAACCGTTCGCAAGTCCCTCCCGATTTCTTTTTGGGACTCTTCTGAAAGGAACAAACCCATCGATTCATGTTGCTTGTGCTGCAAATCATAGCCGCGAAGTCGCAGGCGTATGGTTAATCAGCTTTGCATATTACGTGCCAAATTGTGTCTCTTGGACATGTCATCTTTTCTGAGAAGTGAAGGCAATAGGAGCTTCTCGAGTTGTCTCTAGACAACGTGGTCTTGCTTGCACGCCTTCTATGCCAGGCACAGATTGGTTCCCTTAGAGACTGGCATATTCTTGCCGGGTTCAGTGAACATTGTCATATGGCCCTGCGGTGCATTGTAAGGCAGCATGTATGTGTCGCGGTCCTTTTGAAAGATCCAAATGCCAGCTTGACCTATATGAATCTTGACCAAAAGACCCATTACATCGTGGAAGGCTCACACGACTTCGGCAGAATATTGCCGTAGTCATAGTGGACAACATGGAATTCCTGAGTGTGGCATTCATACCGCGAGTATCGGCATCAGCATTGAATGGCTGAAATAGGTTGCGGCAGGATCATTATCGTGTTCGAGGCTATGAGTGTCGACTTGTACTCCAAGACTGGGGTTATTCGAGCACGATGAAGGGGCAAATGGCCGCCCATCGCTCGATTTCCAGCACTTTATCCCGAAGCGCGCCTCCACTGTAGAATGAACGTGACATGGTGAGATAAGGAGAAAGAAACTAATACTCCATATTATCTCGGAGCTCTGCTGCAGAACGCTCACAATATGTTGCTGACCACGGCCTAGAAGTTGTTCAAGAAGATGTCATGGGGATGAATTTATTCAATGTATATGCATTAGAAATGATAACAATAGTTCCATTTTGCATTCTCAAAGTTCCTCCTGTACTTTGCAGTAAGAGGCTCGATGACGGTTGTCTATGGAGGCTGCACGTGACGATAGTCGCTGAGGTGAGGTGGTGACGGAACTCATCGGCTAAACCAGGGTGTCGTAAGTGGAGCACTCAAGCAGCTTCCAAAGAAAAATTACTCCCATGACATCGTGATGCCCAACGTCAACGCCAACTCATCAACCAGTCACCGAGAGAACATATTTTCTTATCGGGCGTAGATTTGTCAACATCGCTTATCTCACCAGATTCTGCCACCAATTCCGATATATTCACAAGCCTTGTGATTTGGGCTGCGACTATTCGGCAATTTCTTCTCCACCAAAAGCTCTTCAACAGCTCTTAATACCTTGAACAACCGACTACTCGACACAGAACACCTTTAGCTATTCAAGATGGTTACTCTTACCGAGGTTGAGGACGAGCACTTCCAGCACCCTCAGGCTGGTCCCGATGTTGAGGAGGACGATGAGGACTACTCCGATACTGGTAATGAACAACCCCGCGCCTTTAATCGCGATATTGTGCATGCTAACAACGCCCGTAGACTCCGAGATTTCCAACGAGTCCGACTACGATCCTTCAGAAGAGACTCTCGCTGAGCGACTATACGCCCTGCGCGACATCGTCCCACCAACTACTCGCTCATGGATCTCCGGCAAGGCCAACACCATCGGTAACGCTGCCTGGAGCGTTCTCTCTTTCAGTGGCACGGGCGCTTGGGTGCTCACTACCTCTGCCCTGTTCTTTGGTGTTCCCTTCGCTTTGTCTTTCGCCGAGGATCAACAGCTCACTGCTATGGAGCAAGAGTACAACATGCGACAAAGCGGCAGCGAACTTTTGACCGCTGGCTCCGAGCAGAGCACCGCTGACCAAGTCGGCGCCGCCCTTGACGGCAAGCCTGCCCAACCCTCTCTGTAAACAATTAAGTTGGAGTCACGCAATCGAAAAATCTTGACCTCACGTTTCTGGGTATGAGGATATCTTAGACAGTGCCTTTTGTTGCCGGCGCAGTCATTGTTGAGCCGGAAAATGCGGCTTCCCATGTGTACAATAATTGTTTACGGCGTATATGGCCGATGAAGACCTATGATGGATGCAACTGGGTTTAACCGGGAGGAACGAGAAGTGCAACGTATCCACGGCGCATGGTTACCGGTGTAAAGTGTAAGATGGGGTTGGTAATGGCAGCGATCTCATCTCCTGGAAAGGCGGTTTCACATGTATTTTGTCACATTAGAGCTGTATCATTGACGACTTATGTGTGAGCTTTATGTAAACCACAGCTTGTTCTACCTCGGTATCGCACATTGCTTGACTTGAGACAATAACGATGAGTGGTAAAGTTACGCAATGTGATGAAATGGAAAAGAGACTCCGAGTCACAGCAGCCTGTTCGGCCAAGTGTGTGTTGCTCTTAATGTTTCAGATAATCGGGATGACGATGGAGGATCTCCATCAAGTTCAGGGTAGGTATTCTAGTTGAGACTAACTTGTATGGTAATGAGTAAATCGGTATCAATCCTCTCCATTACACCCTGACTGACTAACTAGAGACTCTGCATATTCCCAGCTGAGGCTGAATAAATAGCTGTCACGCGAACAAAAAGGCCAACCATGGACTTTGTTGGGCTGCCAAAGATAGAGGTTGTTTGTTCACACCCCACGTTCCATGTTTGTGATACTGACGATATGCAAGCTTCACGCTCATCTGACTGGGAGCATCTCACGCCGTGCGCTCCATGAGGTATGGCTACGTAAAATGGAGACAGGCAACACCGATTTAGAAGATCCCCTGATCGTCATGCCTGAAGGGAAACATGATTACAACCTGCAAACGTTAGTCTTGCCTCCATCGATTGGCAGTAATGGACACAAGTTGACAACACAACACTCCACAGCTTCTTCCCGCTTTTCAGCAGTTACATATACAACCTTATCACAGATGAGGAATCTGTTCGAGACACCACCAAATCTGTATTGACGGATTTTCTCAAAGATGGCGTCTGCTATCTCGAGCTTCGAACAACACCACGCGCCACGCCTCAACTCTCAGCAGAGCAGTACATCTCAACTCTTCTTGATACAATCTCGTCATTTGAGTCTCAGAATCCCCAGCTGCACACTCGCTTGATCCTTGCTGTTGATCGACGACACACCCCTGAGCAGGCTGCTTCCACCCTTGAGCTTGCTCTGACATACCGTGAGCAGGGAGTCGTTGGCCTGGATCTCTGCGGTGATCCAACAGCAAGGCCAGCAGGCGAGATAAGTGTCTTCACACCTACGTTCCTAGAGGCAAAAAGGAAAGGCTTAGGGATCACGGTTCATTTTGCCGAAGCTGAGGCGAGTGGTTCGAAGGAGGAGTTAAATACGCTGCTCTCTTGGGAACCGGGCAGGCTGGGACATGTGATCTGGGAGGACGAAGAGACCAAGAAGGAGATCGCAAAGAGAGGTTTGTGTCTCGAGTTATGCCTGAGCTGCAATGTCAGAGCCGGGATGGTGTTAGGCGGCTTCGAAGGCCACCACTTCGGGCACTGGAGAGGTGTCAACGGCCCCAAGATCTCACTCAGTGTAAGTTCCTGAATCTGTGTTCACCAAATGAAGAAAAGTGAAGACTGAAAATGATCATAGACTGATGATGTGGGTGTGTTCGGAAGCCCATTGTCTAACGAATATAGACTAGTCGCGGAACATTTTGGCCTTTATCGCCGAGCTATATGTGAGCTTGCGAGACAGCCTATTGATGGTATATTTGGAGGGGAACGGGAGAAAGAACGGTTGAGAAATATCATGTGGACACATTGAGCTTGACAGCTGCTATCGCTATGACGTGAAGGTGTCATGCTGTAGTGCCCGGACAGAGTTGTCATGATATAATTAGGAGGCTAATGTATGTGGTATCAATATCGACGTTATCATTTAGGCATAAGCTATTAGAAAAGTGTCTACTCTAATAAAGTTGTGTTTACTAGCAAGGCGTATTGCATCGCCCACGAACAGCTATCGAGCGGCTGAAGCATCAATAGTTAATTCATACTGCTATGACTCGCTAACAAGGTATGAGGAGAGAAGTTGATATCGAAGCCAAATCAGGAGCATCTCGTGTTCTTCCATCGCATTACATATGGAACGTCCCTGCCCATTAACGCCGTACTTTTTCGGTTCTCGTCTCAATATGAAACGTTAACGTTAACCTCATCGGTAAACATCCAAGTCGTGTTCGTCAAAATTCCCGTAGCCTCATCATCAATGCATGCCAACTGGTGGAGTCTCAAGGTCAACACCTTCAACCCTGGCGCGCTCACCGTCGCTCTGGCGGATGAGGTTGAGGAAATAACGAGACGCGCGCTCACTCTCGCCCTTGACCTTGATAGTCTCCTCTCGCTTTGCGCTCAAGTCCTTGAGGCTTTGGTCAAGGCCGACCCGAAGGTTGTCAGCGGGAATGCGGAGGACCTTGCGAACGGAAGAGGAGATGCGAGAGGAGTTGGAGTGAACATAATCCAACTCAGCAAGCTGAGTCGAGATCTTTGTAGCAAGGCGAGGAGGCAGGGAGTTGGGAATTTGCTGCAGAACATAGGCAGATGCAGCAACAGCTATTAAAAATTAGTGACTTGACTATTGGAATTCACATGGTTTACTTACCAGCCACGAGAATGCCAGGAATGATGAGCTGGCGTAGGTTCTCGTTGCTTAAGATGCGAGTTGCTGTGAGAGCCTGGTCCATCCACGTGTTCATACCAATCATCCGGGGTACAACGGCGCCGGCAACGGTAAGGGCCATACCAGTGCCAGCAAACTTTTCCTGTCGCTGTAACAAGGTAGTCCAGTCGACAAAGTCGATCAGTTCCGTGGGAATATCGACTTGGCGAGCAAGAGCATCTCGCTTGCGTCGGAACATAACATCAGGTCGGAATTGGAGGTTCTGGAACTCGTCACCAACGTGCAGGATACCCAGTTGCTTGATAGCATTGACGCCATACACGGTCTTTCTGCGAGCATACTCTTCGCAGTTCAAAACAGAATCTGCGATGCGAGACAGCATAGCTTCCTTGAGGTCCTCTGCATATTGGAAAGCATTCCAGATACCGGGGTAAGGTACATCGTAGTGGCTGCTTCCAGAATGGAGAATGGCCGAGTTAAGAGTGTTCCGAGTGTAGTCGTAGACGTCCTTGCATGTCTCCTCAACGTTGGCATCAACTGACTCGCTTACTTCGGTCTTTGCCCTTCGACTAGATTCCAACTGAGGTTCAAGCTCCTTCAACTCCTGGGTCACTCGCTCCAGTTCCGATTGAGCAACTTCCTGGTTGACGTTTGCAAGAGTGTTGACATCATTCAAGATGTTGAGCAGATATGTTCGAGCAGGTGCAAGCTTCGATCGTGCACGCTTCTCAAGCACGAATCTTCGCAGCGATTGCTCCAGAGCCTCGAAGTCTCGCACCTTGTCAAGATCCTTACCCTTACCCTTGTCATCGCCATCACCAGGATCACCACTGCCTCCACTTGAACTACCGCTGCCACCAGGACCGCCAGGAGGCGAGGGGCCGACAGGGATGGCGTTACTGGACACAAAATGCACAAGCTCGGAGGATTCCTTGTGGGTTCGGGGACTGAGACCGGCAACCTGGTCAAGAACCATCTTCTCACATCGCTTTTTGTCTCGGATCACATCGAATCCGTTAACAACAATGAATATATAGGCCTTCTCAGCAGCAGCAGCCCAAATAAACTCCTTGGCAGACTGTGTAAAGTGATTTGCAGCGGAAACCACGAACACAACCACATCGATCTCTTCCTGTCGGGCAAAGATGGCAGTCGTTTTGGTTGTATCCGAGTTAAGACCAGGAGCGTCGATCAAGGCAATATCCACCACGCCATTGTTCAGGAGAGATTCGTCAATGCTTCGGCTATCCTTGACATAGATCTTGCACTGAGTGTAAGTCTCGTTGTCGATGACAATATTCTCAAGTTCCTTTAGTGAGAAAACATCGTAGGTCGACTCGTCGTTGCGGTCGTAGGGCACATTCTTATGTACCGCATGTACCTCTTCCACACCAGAGTTCTCCCTAGCATCCAGCACCTCACAAAAGATAGCAGTGCAAGGTTGCTGATCCTCAGGAAGAACCTTTCGACGGAGGAGAGCATTACAGAAAGTTGATTTGCCAGCATTGAGATCACCTGTGATAAGAACCTTGCTTGCAGTATCCTCGATTCGTTCGCGGAGAGCTAGTAGATGCTTGATGCTGGAACTAATTTTGCCATCGAGAAGCGATGCGATGGAGCTCTTTTCCAATGAATGCACAAGCTCGGCCTGGTGGAGAGCACCGAGCTTGAGATCGAGCTTCAAGATAGAGAACTCTTGAGCAATTTGTGGTGAAACGAGTCGGGGCTCGGGTGTAGATCGAATCTCAGCGGCTCGACTCGATTCGGCGGAACCGTCTTCGACCGTCGTCATGGCACGTCTTAAACCAGGGTTTCGGAAAGATGACGAGCCTTTGCCTTCCATACCCGTGTGGGCATGGGCAAAGGCGGGCCGTGAGGAATGTTCGGAGGAGTCGCGGCGAGCTCGTTGAACGGAAGGATAGTGTGCGGGCCAGGAAGCATTCATTTCTTGTAGATTTTGAAGCAGTTCGAGCACCTTGTTGATGGAACGACCGAGGGTAGCACGATGAGCATTATACCACATCTGATGCACGGCACCCGATGCAGGCCGGTCGTGATGCATTGCCATATCCCATGCTGCGGCGGAACTCATGGAACGGTCATCGCCAGCTATACTTCCACCGTAGCCTGAGTCGACGTCAAGCATGCTCTGGAGACGGGCAGCATGTTCGGATGTCATACCATTTCCGACAGTCATATATTGGACCCGAGAAGAGGACGAGTTTGTGGGTGGCGGAGAAGAGTGGTTGCTGGTGGGCGCGTCGGAATGGCCATGATCATTGTCACCATCAGAATCGGGTTCCTGGTGCAGTCGGGCCTTGCCCTTTCCGTTACCGCTGAAATAATCTTGGCTCATGTTGAATCGGTCTTTAGTAGTTCGAGCGGCATATTTTGGATGAGAAGCGAGGGGAAGAAAATATCCTTGGAACCGTGATGCCGATGTAATTATGGCGGTCGGTTGGAGAGGCGAATAAGAATCATTGACAAGTCAGTCGAACGACCCATTTCTGCATGATTTTTGCTACGTACCGATTCCCGATTTGATTGGCGAAATCTGGAGACTTTGGGCGCTTGGACCAAGCGGGCTCTTATCGTGCCGTATCGTCTCGTGCAAGCAATGGAAGCGGTCTTTCAAGGTTGGCCCAGTCCGATTACGTAGTGTCGGGACATCCGTAGCGCGACAAGGCCATCGACTGACTATTAGCACGCATCTGGATCAAGTCTTGATCTTTTTCTCGCTGCCTTGCGCATTACCGCCGCCTACTTATTTACTATTCGCAAGGACTCTTCCCCTATACCGACTCTCCGACTTCTCTCTACCAAGACCTACCCTCTTTCATCCGCCAACCACCACTACCCCCGCACATCATGAATGTAAGAACAGCGGTGTCGTGCGACAATGCGGCGCGCCCATGATGGCTAATTCACTCACGATATAGATCCTCGAATGGGCATTCGGAAAGCGCATGACGCCCGCGGAGCGTCTACGCAAGAACCAGCGCATGCTAGATAAGGCCATCCGTGAGCTTGATCAGATGCGCGTCAAGCTGGAGAAGCAAGAGAAGACCCTTATTCAACAAATCAAAACGAGTGCCAAGAATGGCCAGATGGGAGCTTGCAAGATTCAGGCCAAGGATTTGGTCCGCACGAGGCGATACGTCGAGAAGTTTTACAGTATGCGCAGTCAATTACAAAAGATTTCGCTTCGCCTTCAGGTAACTGCATGCTTGGATACTAGCGTAGACCAGGCTGACTGGATACGATACAGACATACAGAACGAACGAGCAAATGATGCAGGCTATGAAGGGCGCTACCATGGCATTGGGAAGCATGAATAAATCGATGAATCTCCCCCAGCTTCAACGAATCGCCATGGAGTTTGAACGCGAAAACGATATCATGGACCAACGACAAGAGATGATGGACGATGCCATTGATGATGCCATGGATGTGGGAATCGAAGAAGAAGGCGACGAGGTGGTAGAGCAAGTTTTGGAAGAGATTGGTGTGGACTTCAACCAGGCGGTAAGTCATAAAGGTGATGCTATGCTAGCCTTGCCACTAACACAATCACAGCTCGGTGAAACACCTACCGCCCTGGGAACTGCAGCGGTACCTGAGGGTAAGATCGCTCAGGCGGTTGGTGGTGGAGGCGGCGGTGGTGGTGACCCCGTTGATGACGACCTTCAAGCAAGACTGGATAGTTTGCGAAAATAGACGAACAGACAGGGCTTCCTTGAAGCCTTCGGGGTTTTGGTTCAATGACCACCGCCATATCAGTTCAAAGGAGGGTTCACTACCAATATCGGGACCCTTCAGGCCACAGAAGATGGTCATATGTCCGATGTCATGATCGACCTTTGGCCATGGGAAGAAGAAAGAGAGCTTCATGGTACTACGTTTGTTCCGGTGCATTGGTGTCTGGAGAATTGTCTTACATACCATCAGCTTTGCAGGTGTTTCTGTGCTTTATAGAAAACAATACTCGCTGCTTGTCAGGCCTGTTGAAAACATGGGCAACGCTTAACCAACTTGTTGGGTGATTTATGTCTACTTTAGTTTGTGTTGATATAGGTACTCGCACTGTTATAAACATCCTCAACTTGGATGATGGGTAAAGTAGAATCTATGCGGTCAAACAAAACGGTATCATTTACAAATAAATGTGCAGCCTATCTGAGTATGGCTTTGACGGCAGCCCCAGACCTCCACGTGTACAGCCGGCAACGGCTTTGGGGGAAATAAGTTGGACGCATGAGAACGGATTTGATCTTAGGATAAATTAACTCCGAGCCTGTTAGCTTCGCTTCATCTGACTGACGACAGAGCCGTTGTGGGATTATTTAGATGCTAGTTTCGGATGTCTCGGGGCGAGGATGGCTTCCCTCGAACCGACTTATTGTTGGAAACATATCAAATGTGTCAATAACTAACACGCAAAATCAGGGTCCAGTTAATATGCGTTTCCTAGAGCTGATTCATTGC